GCAAGGAGGGGAATGATGAACTTTGCAATCTAGGAGCAGAGGTCCCTGGGACCATGAAGCGAGAAGAGTGGAGTGCAGGACCCTACCCAGAGAAGCAGTGATGCCTGAGATGGAGGCAGAGACAATGACGTGAAGAGATGGAGCAGCTGGGGACTTTAGACCCAGCGAGGGAGAGGGGCTGTGTGCTGACGAATGGGGGGCAGGCTTGTAGTGTATACCCTTTGGTTGGCTGATGATTCATGGAGGGGATTGTAACCATGGCAATGAAAATATATACGATAGGATGAATGTAAAACTAATGTTCTCCAATGTAAACTACCACATAATTCACAATAAAACATAAGAAAAAAAAATTTCTGTGAGGGATCCACCCAGCCCACCCTTTGCCTGTTTTCAGGTTATCTACGAGTCTTCTTTTTTCCCACTGAGTTTGCTATTTTTCTGTCTTTTAATAATTAAGCAACAACCACTGTCCACTGTTGCATGTGGTCACTGAGAGTTAGAGTCAACAAGACAGCACCCAACAACAATAAGAAACTTCACATTGGATCCTGTCATACCACTTTACTATGGTGGTGGTGGTGTGCTGTGGAGTCGGTTCTGACTCATAGTGACCCTACACAGAGTTTCCCAGGCTGTAAATCTTTACAGGAGCAGAAAGACTCGTCTTTCTCCTGAAGAACAGCTGGTACTTTTGAACTGCTGACCATAAGATTAGCAGTCTGACTTGTAACTACTATGCTCCCAGAGCTCCTTTACTATACGTGTTTATTTTTTAATCTAAAATTACACTGGCTCCCAACATTGCTACTTCATCACAGGCCAATAAAAAAGAAGCAGACTTAACATGTGAGGGATGTGCTCTCAGCATACGATGTCACAGCAGGCTGGGCCAAGGAACGCTCCCCAGGACTGCAGACCAAGGGAACGAAAATGCACTACGAATGGGGACAGGATAAAGGTGGTCTCCTTTCAGTAACATGCTGTCAATTGGTGTTGTGGTCAAGTGACCTCGGTCAGTTTTGTCTCATAGTGACCCTGTATAGGATTTCCAAGGAGCGGCTGGTGGGATTGAACAGCCAGCCTTGTTGTTAGCAGTCCAGTGCTTATCCTATAGCATCACACCAAGACTAGGCATGTTACATTAATGAATGTGTATTAGATATGTGAAAAGTGATTAATTTTTCTAAAGAGTCACTTTCCCCTCTGCTATATGAGTGGTGGGAGCCCTGGTGTGGTGCCGTGGGCTAATGCATCAGACTGCAAAGGCATTTGAACTGCAAAGTCCGTGGTTCAAGCTCACCAAGCTGCTCCTTGGAAACCCTACACAGGGTCATTATGGGTCGGGATTGACTTGATGGTACTTAACAACAACAACAACAACACATGAGCGGTTGTTGTTATTGGTGGTGGTATGTCATGGAGTCGGTTCCAACCCATAGCGACCCTGCACAGAGTTTCCAAGGCTGTACATCTTAATGGGAGCAGAAAGCCTCATCTTTCTTCCATGGAACAGCTGGTAGTTTTGAACTGCCGACATTGAGGTTAGCAGCCCGACTCGTAACCACTATGCTATGAAAGGTTATTGTTTTTGTTAGGTGCCATCGAGTCGGTACCAATTCATAACAACCCTACACAGAAGAGAATAAAACACTGCCCGGTCCTGGTTGTTGTAGTGGTGGTGGTTATGTGCTGTGGTATTTGTTCTGACTCATAGTGATCCTGTACAGGGTTTCCAAGGCTGTAAATGTTTACGGGAGCAGAAAGCCTCATCTTTCTCCCACAGAACAGCTGCTCATTTTGAACTGCTAACCCTGAGGTTAGCAGCCCGATTTGTAACCACTACGCTACCAGAGCTCCTGGTTAGAGGGATTCCATTAGAACTTCTCTGCAAAGAACCGTATCTGGCCTCCAATCAGTGCTCAACAACTGTTCGCTATTATTATGCTGTGATAAATAGTATTCTGCTAGATGGATGCTCTGCATAGATAGAAACTGGAACTGGAAATATGGTACACTTTGAATTTGGGTCGTTTTACTAATTACGTGCTTTGCTAAATTCTATAATCCCAAAATGAGTAAGACTGTCCAGGTTTTATGTTCCAGAATCTCAATTTGGGGTGGGATTTTTTTTTTTTTTTTTAAAGGATGATTATATTCAAGTGTGGCTAACCATAAAAGAAAAAGCAAACACATAACAGAAGTACGTAAGCTGGATTGTTGGGCAGATGTTGAGAAACTAGCTGCCCACATGCTCATCTCTGGAGTCCGTGTGTGGCGTTGTAGAATCAGCACTGAAATGCCAACCATAAGGGCTACGGTTCAAAGCTACCAGCCATTTCTTGGAAACCTTATACAGGGTAGCTATGAGTTGGGACCACCTTGAAGGCACTTAACAACAACTGGCAAGAACATGATCGTGAACTTGGAGTGGAGTCCGGCAAGCTTGTCTGCAATCCCTACTCTGCCACTTTCTGTCTGGGTGACTCTAAGGTTTTGCACCCTCACTTACAAAATAAAGAAATGGCTGTAGATAACTAAGTGCTTGCTTAGGCTGTTGTGAAGAAGTCTAAGCTTCTTAGCAGAGTGACAAGCACAGAATAGCAAGTACTCAAGCAAAATTTGCTATTTCTAGAATCATAAAAATGAATATTACTACTATGAATATCAGTGCTATTACTGTGATTACCATTACTATTGATATGGTTACCGTTGTGTGCCATTGAATTGATTCCAACTCATAGCAACCCCGTGGCTGCTGTGGGATCAGGCACTGGACCACAAGGTCAGTCTGAACCACCAGTCACACCTTGCAAACCCGATTCAGGGTCGCTATGAGCCGAAACTGACTTAACGACACTTAACAACAACAACACTTTGTGGTTAGCAGTGCAGTGCTTATCCGCTAGTGTGCCACACCAGGGCTCATACCTGTCGGCCCCACATGGAACAGAAGTCAGGCTGTGTTTTGTGGGAACTTCAGTGGCGTTACAAGGACACCTGTGCAATCTATGAAAACCAATTACCCCTGAGTTGATTCTAACTCATGGTGACCCCTTGTGTGTCACAGTGGAACTGTGCTCACAGAACAGGAGCAATTTCCAGCGGATCACCAGGACTTTCTTCCGAGGTGCATTTGAACCTCCAATCTCTTTGTTATTAGCTGTGCACATTAACCATCTGCACCACCAAAGAACTTCTTTCTATGCACTCCAAACTGTTTGTTGCTGTGAGTGCCATCAAGTTGATTCCAATTCATAGTGACCATTTATGGGGTTACTGAGGAGCCGATGGTAGGTCTGAACTCCTGATCTTGTGGTGAACACTCTAATGTTCATCCTCCGGAGCCAAAGCAAGACTCTATAGGGCACAGTTTATCTGTCTTGATGCGGTTCAGACAATTTTAACAGGTAGCTTGACATCTTTATGGCATACTTCTGTTTTATGTAAATAAAGTGAACCAAAACTCTCTCAGTTGACATCACAAAGTGATAAAATATGAGTCCGAGAAGCTTTAGTGGTTAAAAAAATCAGTGTTTACCAGAGGAAGGACGATGTCATGGAATTGTATTTCCCGATTCTTCCATGTACTGGCTGTGAGATGCTGAGCAAATTACTGAATCTCGCCAAACCTCAGTCTGCCCAGCTGCTAATTGTGGATCATATTAACTAGCTCATTGTTCTATAATAAAAAAGCAAAAAACAGCATGGTGTGGCTTGAGGTAGACTATCTATCAATAACTCTCAGGTCCCTTCCCCACAAAGAAGACAGAATAGAATTCTTCAGAAAGAGGAGACTAAGTGAAATCTGTGGTTTCAATCTTTTTATGTGAAAGTATTTCCAACCAATTTTATATTTTGGCAGAGCTCTTTACCCTTTCTATTAATTTATGCTGAAGGTATAGCAGATTTAAAAGTTAATTAATGAAAAATATTATTTTTAGGTGAGAGACAACAACATTCTTTGGTCTCATAACAGATGGCCGCTTATAATAAGTGGAACACTATCTCTTTTATTCAAGTCAGGGTATCTCAAAGAGAAGCCATCAAATCTAAGTCATGGAGAGAAAGCTCTGATGTTGGACAGTTAGGATCCAGTCAATAATATTAAAACTCCTTGTCACCTACTAGATTCTGACTCCTGGTGGGCCCATGTGGTACAGTGGAGAGCTGAGCTCCACAGGGGTTTGGGTTTTCGATCCTCACAGATGGAGACCTCCAGACCTCTCTTCCTTGGAGCTACTGCGTGCATTTAAAGTGATAACCTTTCCATTTCCAATGGAGCACGAAGCATTGCGCCACCTAGGGGCCTTAGGGAGCCCTGGTGTGGTGCAACAGGATACGCACTGAACCTGGAGTTCAGTTCAAATTCATCAGCTGCTCCTCCTCGGAAACCCTTACAGGGTCGTCATAAGTCAACGGCATTTAACCTTATGTGAATAAACCCTCTGCTCACTTATCAGCAAGTTTACGTTCTATACCAGGCTGTTGTGTGAAAATTGGCGTTTTGTGAAAACGGAGGATGACCGCGTCAGACCACAAGATGGAAGACAACGACATCATTACGTAAGTACCCCAGTTTATGGGAATCAGGGTCCAGTCAAGTTCACACGGATCGTCAAATTTCACATGTTAGGTGTTCATTGCTGCCAGACATAAGTTGTTAATGTACAAAACAGTTAGACTGTAGATTTTCTACTATGATCATAAATGCAAAATGCCTGATAATGAGGTAGCTGACAAATCAGGAATAATATTAGGTTTGAATACATGCACTCCAACGTGTCCATCTATCCATCCAATGCCTCCATCTCCGAACTGAACCAAGAAGCTGAAAACTAAAGTCAATATTAGCACCTACACCATACAAAGCTTTCCCAAAAGCATTTCTGTTTTTATATCTCTTTACATAACCAAAACATCAATGTCAGCTTGCAGTTTGGCTTTTAAAACGTCTCCTGTGGTATCTATTTCAGTAGGTTGGATAAACAAACACTTACTATATGCACATCCAAACACCTCGATTCGCAGTCCAATTCTGCCCTTGGGGTTCCACTCTAAAGGGATGAAGCGCAGAAATTTGGCTTTGATAGAAGGCTGGAGTCTATAGTACACAACACTGTCTGCATTTGTGTTTCCTGAAAATCCCTAGAAGAAAAGGGAAATAAGGAAATCAGTGTGTCTGCAGAATATGTGTTTCACCTTGTCACCTCGAATGCAACTAAGTAATGTGTCAGCTCACTTTTCTGGCTACGAAAATGGCTACCTTTTAGAAAAACTAATTTACAGCTATGACACCGTATCTCTTCATCTGCAGAAGCCACTATTGCCCAAATGTTTCTTTCTATTAACAGCTGCTTAAATTCCACAATTTCTAGTACACTAATTTCAACTGACACCCTCAACAAAGTTTACTTCTATAAAGTGCAATTAAACTTGAAAGTGGGGCACGTCTCTAGTCATTTGTGAGTAGCAAAAAAAAAAAAAAAGTGAGAGCGGGAGAGAGAGAAAAAAAGCAATGCTCTGAGAAAATAGTATTCAGTATTCAGAAACTATTATAATAGTCTGCAAAGAGGCTGCTTATATTAATGATGAGTGAGTAAGGTGTGGCCTATTTTTGTTCTCTAGTTTTTTCATCTTTGCCACAAACATAAATGAAAACACTGCCCCACACCCATGTCAGAAACACACCACAATAAACATCACTGACACTGCTGGATACATGTATTTGGGTGGAAAAGGTAATGGGCATTGTCAACAAAAATAATGTGGGAAAGCTCTCAAATTAACACATACAGACCAAGAGTCTCGAAGCTCCAGGGATTTGGAGATAATGTTAAAGCAGCAAAGTCAAATGGCAGATAAGGAAATTCAAGGCCAGAGAGGTGACAGAGGCTGTGGACTAAGCAGAATGACCACCCAGAGCCAGCAGATGTTCATGTCACACAGCACCTAAGACCTGAGCAACTTTCATTGTCTTCTACATGACGTCTGTGGGCCTCCACATGGTGAGAAGTCAGGACGAAGCCCAAGCAGTTGTTCTCAATGACTGGAATTTCATTTTTATTGATCCCTTATTCCCTTTTGTCCTTGGCATTATCCGCATACGTAGGAACAACCACAGGAATGAGGCCACGACCTGTGTAATCTTTGCAAGGTCAGCAGCTTCTCTGCATTTCAGGAGTCGGGTAAAGCGGTACTACCAAAGACAGACCTTTGGGGTCCATGGCTACTGACATTGTGTATCGCCACGGACACCCCAGCCTCTTGAGAACCTGGTCTCGAGGCAGCCAAGCCTCATCAGACCTCTCAGACTTTTGATTCCGCTTTCCTGGGTGCCACTGACAGGCTAATACAGTTCCTAATTAAGATTTCTTGCCAAGTGAACAGCTGGATGATTACTTAGCTAGCCCTCGGAAAGATCCCACATTTTATCCAATTAATCTGAGTTCATAGCTTTAGATAGATGTCACTAGGATGAGCTTGGCATCAGAAAGGATTGGGGAAAATATGCTGGGTGGATTGACGACAGACTGGTAAATGAAACGGGGAAGTCGGAGAATAGCAATGCTTTCCTTTGGGCCAGGCCTATTTGTTTTAGTTCTCTGAATTTTTGAGACTATAAAGAAGAAATATAAGATACATAGTTTATATTCGCAATGAAAAGACCTCCATGGGCACGTGCGAACGATTTAGCAGCAGTTTCTTAACAAAGGGTGAATTTTGAGGGAGAAAGTGGAGAAGGGGAGAAGAGACTTTTACTTAACACATTTCAGTCACATTTTGATTTTTTAATGAACATGTATTAATTTTATAATAATTAGTGAAATACAGCGGCGCACAGACACAGGAAATGTGCATAGTGATGGAGCAGGCAGAAGCTTACTTTTGCAGCACCCCAAGTACCTTAAATAATGTCCTTATATCACTTGGGGAAACATACAACATTTTCATCATTCATTTCAACAGGCAGTGGACATTCAGACTTCAAGTGCATCATAACAACATGCTAATGGAAATCAGCTCTGTATTGGACAATGTCTGGTCATTAAAGAAGTTGAACTACAAGTTAGCATTTGCATTTTCTTTGTTGTTGGACATGTTAGAATATTTTATGTAAAATACATAAGATAACAAGCAAAGATTCTGCTTTAGATTTCGATACTTAATGGGATTTTTGTCTTTTTTTTTTTTTCCTTCCAGAATGTCTGTGAATGAGGCCAGGGATTGACGTTGTAATACTTTATAAGTGAAAACTCCAATGCAAGCTACCAGGTTTCAATTATATTCTGTTGCCTAGGAGACATTCCACAATTTTCTATGCAGATTTTTTTTTTAAAATACTATAACAATTCATTGTAAAAATGCATGGATTAAAATGTACCCCCTTCTTAAATAATTTTCTCACATGTGCATATATGTCTCCCCTTTATATTGTATATTTTGAATTTTCATATATGTCAAAATTGCTTGAGGTGGTTTTTAGAAATTCAGATTTCTGGGCTCAGCACTTTCCTCACTAAATCTACGGGGGG